ATATCGGTCGAGTATGTCCCGAGAAATGGGTTCTCACCTAAATGTGGGCGATGCCACGTCCATCGTCCAAATTTGTTATTGGCTCCTATAAAGCTCTCTCGTGCCATCTCAGGTGTAAAATTGCATGTCTCTGGCGGATTCATTTATAGATTTATCGCACTTTTAGTAGTTTTTAACAAACCACTTACAAGGAGAGAGGGCGGGGATTGGATTATAAATCCAATTTTATCCCTTTTGGCACTGTCGGTAGGGGTTCTTGTTTAATGGCGTTTTGTGGGCGTGGCAGTGGTCCGATTACGCTACTTGTGCTAACATTTTTCAAAGGAAAACGTGTATAAAGTTTCATTACGATATCTTAGTTTTCACTCAAGTTACAGCTTGCGTGGACAGACGGACGAACGGACGGCCTCACATTTTTAACGGTGAACTGCCAGTAAACTTCCTTGTATTCACAAAAAGGGAATTTCTATAAATTTGTGGTATGGATATATTTCGCAAAAATTAAATCTGACAAATAAAATTTAATCCCATAAAATTTTAAATCGTGTTAAATGGAATAAAATGTTAATTACTAATTAAATATTGTTAAATCAAAACCTTGTAAAAAAAGACCGTGTGAAAACAGAATTAGATAAATTACAATTACAAACTTAAATAAAAAACAAGTAAGGAAGAGCTAAGTTCGGATGTAACCGAACATTTTATACTCTCGCAAAGTCAAATAGTATACTCGTTGGAGATTTCTTTGTGGATTGACTGATATTTTTGGTAGAAGGTCAACTATAGGCAATGGGGTCCACATATTTAGTACTTAGGGGCTTAAACATTTTTGGATCGATTTAGATAATTTTTGGCCACAAGGTGGCATACTTTAATCGCATTATTCACGCAAAGTTTTATCCCGATACAGTCATTGTTGCCTGATTTGCATAGTGGAAAGTGAAAGAATCAGATGGAATTTAAAATGGTGTTATATGGGCAATAGGCGTGGTTGAGTCCGATTTCGCCCATTTTCGCACTATGACATAGAAACATGAAAAGAACGTTATGCACTGAATTTGGTTGAAATCGGTTGAGCAGATCTCAAGATATGGGTTTTCACCTAAAAGTGGGCTGTGCCACACCCACTGACTAATTTTGAACGCGGTTCCTATAAAGCCAATTTATACCATCTCAGAGATAAAATTTAATGTCTCTGGCGTGTTTAGTGCTTGATTGATCGCGCTTTTAGTAGTTTTTAACAGTACCGTTATATGGGGAGTGGGCGGAGTTGCCACCCGATTTCAACTATTTTCACACCGTCAATAGAAGTGCTAAAAACATTTGCTTCTAGTGAATTTTGTTAATATAGCATTAGCGGTTTAAGAGATATGCACATTAAACTTATTAGAGGCGGGACCACGCCCACAAAAAAGTTTTAACTGCAGATGCCCCTCCCTAATGTGATCCTGTGTACCAAATAACAGTCTTGTATCTTATTGCGGAGCTTAGTTATGGCAAGTTATTTGTTTTTGATTAATGGCGTTTTGTGGGCGTGGCAGTGGTCCGATTACGCCCATCTGCAATACCAACCGTCTCACGGTACCAAGAAACATGTCTACCAAGTTTCATAAAGATATCTCAATTTTTACTCAAGTTAGAGCTTGCACGGACGGACGGACGGACAGACAGTCACCCGGATTTCAACTCGTCTCTTCATCCTGATCATTTATATATATATAACCCTATATCTAACTCGATTAGTTTTAGGTGATACAAACAACCGTTAGGTGAACAAAACTATTATACTCTGTAGCAACAGGTTGCGAGAGTATAATTAATAAAATACAAAATTTAACATTTTATATTGAATTGCGATAATACAGATCTGAAAAAATGTATATCAATCGTTGTCAAATGTACCGGCTTTACGGTTTTGTTTTTATACGTGAGCATATTTTCACTGTATTGAAAAATTTATTATATTATTATTTAATGTATGGTATACCTTAACCACAAAATCACGTTGCCTGGTTTTCTAATATATGTTATTAATAAGTAAGTAATGACCTTCAATATAAGTTTAAAAGATATCAAACGATGATTTTTGTGGCACACGATTCGTACTACAAAAGCACACCGTAATAATTTTTTTAATCGATGCATTTATTTGTTTTTATGGTATGGAAAATTTTATTTTATTTTTTATAATTAAATATTTTTAAAAATTATGGACCGTAAATGACCTCCATGCTCAGTTACGCATATGCGACACCTAATCAGGATTGCCTCAATTATTTGAACTGCTTCAATTCAGACAGATTTCTGCTTTGGTTTGCACACCTCTTGTTTGACATAACCCCAAAAAAAAAAAGTTTGGTGCAGTTAGGTCAAGGGACGAAAAGTGGAGTTTCTTCATAGTAATTTGTTTTCAAATTGATCAGTTGATTCATCTTGCTGGAACCATTCGCTATTAAACGTCTTCGGCGCAGTTCTGGGACTAATCATAAGAAGTAAGGAAGGGTAAATAACGGTGACATTGACAGTTACTGTTACACCGTTTTCCTTAAAGAAGTATGTCCCGACAATATACCTTGATGAAACTGCGCACCAAACAGTGACTCGTTTTGGGTGAAGTTTCGTCTCGTGGACTATTTCTGGATTTAATTCACTCCATATACGGAAATTTTGCTTGTTTACATTCTCGTTTAGATCAAAATAGGCCTCATCAGACATAAAGACGAAATTTAGCAAGTTATTGTCTTCTTTGGCCATTTCAATAATTTTTTGTCAAAATTCCAGGCGAATAAGAAAGTTTAAAGGGTTTAACCGGCTTGTTATGTTATTTGAACTTTGTACAGAAACATATTTAAGTCGTCATGAATTATCTGTTGTAATGATCATCTGCTAACTCCAATAACTAACTAACACTATAAGTGTTTGGGGGATGTAATTATAAATAAAGGAGGAATGCAGAGCTGTAGACAATTAAATTAGTTGTATTAAAGTATCAAATATATTTTAAACTACAATTATTTATAGCTACCTATACATCGAAAATATTTCATATTTCTACTACTAATTATTTCAATTATAAATAACCAAAGATAAATCTAAGCTACAAACAAACAATGAATTCAAAAACTCAATTGAATAAGTCGCAGCTTTCTCGAAGTCCATAGCTTAGTTTGACACCAAGTCCCCTGGCAAAAACTATTGTACCTGTGAATTTAATCCGTTGACGTCAACATTTTTTATTAACTATCAGTTGTACTTTTTCAACATTTTATACCTTTCAATACCCTATTCAGTGCCTTAAGCGAATGCACACTGCTTCTGGATTATATTTAATGTTTAATGGCAGCTTAAATGCTAAATGAGCTGTTCAACCTCCATCTAATAAAATTGCTGCAATGCCAGATGATGCAACGGCCAATGCGATGCCATTCTTTAGTCGGATCTCAGCAAGAAGTATTGAAATACGGAATTTTTTGTCAGTCGCACCTCGTGCTTCCAAAAAAACTTAGGGGGACTATGTCCTGCGAAAACTGCCAGTATAATGCGTCATTTAGTAGTAAAACCTTTCGAGAAATATTCGGTGCCTATTCGACAGTATCATACTTCATTGAACGATTAATATGTGGGTTGATTAAATAAGATGCAATTTGATTTGGTGAACTCATACCGAAATAACTAATTGGTAAATGCGCAATGACAATACAATGATCCTCAATGCTTCATTGTACACTGCGTCACTAAGTGATATCGTTAGACCGTTGCACCTTGTACGATGTCGATACAATATGTATATCATCATCATCAGTTATCGAATCCGTGTAATTATCCCACAACATACGGACCGGATATAGTAAATAGTAAACAAATTTGTGTTCCTGTGCAGTAAAGTAAAACTGATTCAGCAAGCATACTGTCCCAATGATTGTCATCTTCTAGCAAGCTTAGTGCAAGGCATGTATCTTTATACATTGGATAATGTTGTCCATTTACTTTACGTATAGCTTGAAATAACAATGGTCCGGTGAGATAAACCAACAACAGTCACAGATAAAAGCACTTAGTCTGACTATATATACACGACCCAAATTATTTGCTTTGAATAATCCGGCGCATGCATCAACTGGTGTGCCTTACTAGCATAGCGTGGTACTTCAGTGCAAAGGCACCAAACATATCCGCACGATTATTATTAAAAGATTAAAAAAGTTGATCAGCTGCTTTATTTACAATTACATATCCAAAAACAGTTAGTGTTAGTTATTTTTAAAAATATTTCCAAAAAAATATTTCTAAAAAAAGTGTTCACTACAAATGACGTACATACAAACAACGTTTGCCGTTTTAAATAAAATTTCAATATTTCAAACACACATATTTGTATTGATGAAAACACTGTGCTAAAGACAGACATATGGTTTCCGTACTACAATGTGTACTACAATAAAAACTCAGGAAACCATGTACCAGCATAGTGACACACATACGAGTATGTTATCTTATTTTATGAGTTTGACACTTATTAGCTGATGCAAAAAAATTCAACTAAGAGAAAATAAATATAAAGCAGTAAAATGAAGAATGATGATGAATTTAATTACATGAGGGGCGAAAGGAAATATTTTACTCAATCTCTATGGGCATTAAAAAGGACTAAACAATATTGAAGATTTATTTTCAGAAAAGGGCTTTGCAACAACATTTTTTCCTTATTATGATTTTTAATTTTTTCATTTATTTTGAATTTTAATTTTTTTACATTTCGAAGTGACAGAAAACAAATGCTTTTGGCAGAAGAGCTTAAAGTTTTGGGTGTGTTTAGTGCAATTCATCTAAATACAAAACAGAACACCACATAATTTCAATGGTTTCTTTAACACTATTGTAGTACAAAACTCCATTTTCTTTGGAACAAAAATAAAAATACGGTTGACACACTTTGTCTGTCTTTGGCATTACCTGTAAAACTTTACTCGATAGTTTCACCCATTCAAAATCTCTTTTAGGGTGGAATCTAGTGTTGGTGTTCCTGTTTATAAAACTCATATGAAATTAACCGTTATAAACGTTAGTAGTGGCGATGATGGAATTTACAAATGTGTGGCCAAAAACCCACGTGGAGAAACCGATGGTGTAATTCGGCTGTACGGTAAGTTTTAATTAATTGTTGTCCACAAATATTATAAAGAATGTGAACTCAAATCTGGGATCACTCAATTAACTATTCTCAGACCAGATTGATGATTTGTTAATCTAATGTACAGTATTATAAAATAACTATTTCACTTGCAGTAAATAAATTATTGTACAATTTTAATTACCCAACAATGTTTTGAATAGAGATGGATTTACGTATTTCCCATATACATACATATATAGTTTCATATCCACCAACCACATCACCTTCTGGACCTTTTTCTACTGAAATTCGCTGGGATGTGTTTTTCGGGCACGGCAGTGAGACGTCACGATCAAGTTATGGCCAGGACAAAAGTAAGTAAGAGTATGTTGTGGGATTTACCAAATTTATATATATAAATTATAACATTTATTCATAATATATGTATATAGTATATTAAAATACATATAAGGGTAAATCATAGATGCAAATCTAAGTACTTCCTGTATAAATTCACTTTTGGCATCTTACATATCATGTCATAAAAACAAGACTTCCCTGTACAAATACAAAAGATTTTTTCCAAGAACTCGACTTTGATCGATCAGTTTGTATTGAAGCATAAAGCTCTAGTGATCCGATCCAATTAATTTCTTCGAAGATTGCACTATTGCCTTAAATAATTGTCATCTCGTCAAATTAAAAAGTTTTCCTTACAAGCACTTGATAAATAGACGCGCCCGTCACACTGGTCATTTATAACGGGTTTTTTTTTTTTTAGAGATATAGAACTTTAAATTGCAATAAAACAACGATTATTCGATTGACATGCATATTATTTATCCGAAAGATAATCTTGTAGCATTACATTTTAAATATGATTTCTGGCATATGACCGCCACGGCTGGCTCGGATGTAGTCCATTTTCGATGACTTTTTCCAACATTTGTGGCCGTATACGGCGAATGTTGTCTTCCAAATGGTTAAGCTTTTGTGGCTTATGCGCATAGACCAATGACTTTACACACTGAAAGTAGTCTAGTGGTGTTAAATCAGAAGATCTTGGAGGCCAATTCACAGGTCCAAAACGTGAAATTAGGCGGTCACCAAACGTGTCTTTCAATAAATCGATTGTGGCTGTTGCGCCGTCTTGTTGGAACAACAGCTCCTGGACATCGTTTTTGAAGAAGTACGGACCAATGACTCCACCAGCCAATAAAGCGCACCAAACAGTCAGTTTTTCTGGATGTAACGGTGTTTCGACATACACTTGAGGATTAGCTTCACTCCATATGCGGCAGTTTTTTTGTTGACGTAGCCATTCAACCAGAAGTGCACTTCATCATAAAATGAACGTAGTGCGCGATACGTATTCCGCAATTCGAAATAAAATTGCACTATTTGCAAGCGTTGTTCAGGCGTGAGTCTATTCATGATAAATTGCCAAACCAAATTGAGAATAAATCACTTACAACTCAATTTAATCCCTGAATTTCTTTAATAATTAGACGAATTTCGACTGCTTGGTTCTCATTACCCTATACCAAAATGCAAAGTTTGTAACAGCCGTTATCTTCGTTGTTTTGTATTTTCAAACAAAGATAAAGTCTTGTACATATATGGTATACTGAAAATTTTTAATTTAGGACATATAGTTGCAATAATTAGTTTCTCTTTTTTATTGTAGGTACACGTTTTCTATCCAATCTAAATGAAATCGGCATATCAGAACGAAAATCATTTGCTGAAAAAACCAATGGCGGCCCAGGAACAAGTAGCACCGATGCAGCTCGCGATGATAAGCATCATCTAAATGGTGGAGCGCTGTCAAAAATATTGGCCAATAAACCAATGTGGATTGCTGTTTTTATAGTATTCGGGCTATGTTTATGAGGGCTTCACATTGCATGTTCCAATCTTTAATACCGAAGCATAAGTTCATTATACATATATATCTACATAGGTACATATATCACATATGCATCTGAAATATAATATGTAATGTAAAGCTTTCGTAACACACATTACTTCCCAAATGCCTTCATACTCGTTCTCTCAAATCATACTACTTCGCGATCGCATGACCATATCCATATATATATACATATATATCAACATATACAATATAAATAGGAATATGTAAGTTAAATAATGCTGTAAATTATGACCCTTATATAGATATTTTTAATAAATAATCAAATGCTAGAATCACAGGAAAAAAACTGTATAAGAGAGTATTTAGTACGGCGTTTAATGCGCTTTTGTTGCCTTTTAGCAAAAGAAAAATATCATTGCGGCGAAACGCCTAATAGTGCTCTAGGAAAAGCTTAACATATCCCTAAGATGAGATTAATGCTGTATATATATATATATATATATATAAATAAAGAAATACATATACGCAAATAAATATATATATATATATATATATATGCAATTATAAGTGCATATATGTATGCATAAAAACCAATGTATTATCAATATACTATATACTATGTGCTGTCGATGATTTAAAGAACATACTTATATCTTGAATAAGAAAACATACCTTAATAATCACAAAAGGAAAAAAATCAGGTACTATGATTTTATCTTCAATAGCTCAAATAATAAAATTTTCAGGATTCTCAACAAAAGAAATATTTAATAAAAGCTACCCGTATAAAATGGTGAAAACAGATCCCATTGTGTAAACCTAAAAGTAACCAATCTTAAATTTTTCAAAAATACATACGCAGACGAATGCTTTTAGAATGCAATAGAATGAGGAAACTAACTGCAAAAAATAGGCATTCGGCATTCCTACTAATACTCTACTTCTAAAACGGCCAAACTAAGCATTCGGCACGGGCTTCCTACTAATATTGTACAATACTACTAAAACGGCTATATTATGTTATAATATAATATTAAGTATGTTTTTGGTACATTTTCAAATATTTTTCGATTATTAAAATTCCTTAAGGATAAATTTACGTCGTTGTGAAATATTATTTATTATATAAAAAGATTATTCCGTTGCTTTGGGCAATAATCCGTCCCAAATTTCGTACAAAACAAGTTCTTCATTTTGATCGTTCAGTTTGTATGACAGCTATGCACATACATATATGGATACATATAGGGATATGGCTAAATTACTCAGCTCATCATAAATATATATATATATAAATAATTAGTATATATATATATACAAATAACTAGTATATATATACATATACAATATATAAATAATAGCCAACGTTTCTTTCTGGATGTAACAGACTTCGTGGCAAACTTAATTTAACGGAATCAACGGGTCATATTATAATAGAAAACATGTTTCCACAAACTTTTGTGAAGATAATTCACACACTGAGCGACATATTGGGTGTAAAATCTGCTAAAATAACCAAAATAATTGTATTTCGGCATTAAACTATTGTATATTCTGTATAATACGCACACTTAATATCTTACATAGTGACCGATATACACGGTAAAACCATACGATTGAAATTCTTATATTGGGTAGCCGGACCTTTGTCTAAAACAACATGTTCACTTAATGCCGGAAAGGAGGTGGAGTTGTTTTTGAAAAAAAGTATAAGGAGGCCTGAGAGACCAGACCTAAGCCAGTATGTTGTCAAGAAAACTGTCCATCCAATAACATTATACTACAGTATATCCAGGATAATACGTTTTCTTGGTACGTAAGTACGCCCACAAAACGCCATTAATCGAAAACTTAAAACTTGGCATAACTAAGACACATATTAAGATACAAAACTGTTATTTGGTGCAACCTGTGGTTTGAAAATCTTTAAAAAGTGAGCATAGCGCCCCACCTAATAGGTTTAATGTAGGTATATATTTTCCACACCATTAAAGATATATCACCCGAATTTGTACAAGACAAATTCTCCGGAACCCTCTTACAATTGTGAAAATGGGATGATGTTGAAAACTACTAAAAGTGCGATAAATCAATAACCTAATGCGTCAGAGGCATTTAATTTAATATCCGGAATGATACAAGAGGGCTTTATAGAAGCCGATGTCAAAATTGAAGGATGAGCGTGGCACCGCCCGCCCACATTTAGGTGAAATAACATATCTCAGGACCTACTCGACCTATTTCAGTCAAATTCGGTAAATAACATTATTTTGATATTACTATACTATGGTGTAAAATTTAACGAAATCAACCAAAAACTACACCTACTTCTCATATTACACAATTTTAAATTCCATCTGATCTTTCACTTACCACTATATAAATCAAGCACCAAGGAAAGTATCGGGATAAAACTTTGCACAAATAGTTTGAGACAATTGTCAAAATCGGATCAAAAGAGTCTCCAGATACCGAATATGTGGACTCCAGTTCCAAGTGCGAACTTTTTATCGAAAATATAGGTGACTCGGTGAAATATATTATATAATATATATGTATATATTAGTAACATTGAATGCGAGATAGAAACGGACGCGATTATTTGAATGAATTTTTGAAGGGAAGATGAAAATTACGAATCAGAAGCAGCTTGAAATTTTAATTATTGAAAAGGAAAAAAACTCCGCAGGTTTTAGAAAAGGAATAAAACCATTAAATTTCGATCTTTTTAAGAGGGATATTTTCAAAAAAACTAAATTCATTCGAGCCTCCACTTCGCGACGGTGACGGTTGGCATAAAGTAAGTAAAATTAAATTTTTATATCTAAGAAGGTGTTTAACAGTTATGTGTGAATATATATAAAGTAAGGAAGGATTTAAAATTCAAAACAAAGAAAAAATGGTACGCAACAAGTCCGAAACTAGAGCAATGGGAAGAGGAGTGAATAAACAGATACCACCGTCTCCTTCGCAAAAAGCTGTTGCCAATTTGATGCAGTTCGGTAATCAGCTGGATCCACCAAGTAGAGTGGTCGGATTAGCCAGAAGCGTAGAGCGTCAAGTGCTGGAAGTATCAAGTATTTTGGAAGAAAGTTTGGAGGACGCAGATGTCGGCACTACTATCGGCAGAAGTCATCGCCATCATTGATATACCAATCGCTCCAAGCTGTGTACAATCTAAAAAATATAAAATAAAGATGAAAGACTAAAATTGTTGGGCAAAAAACGGAAGTGCAACAAGTACAGTATCGTTGTTTAGAGTCAATAGAGTATAACGTAACATCCATTAAGAACTACTTTAAAGATATGTCTCATTACACAAGAAATAAGTTTTTACTGGTAGAAGAACGCCTCAAAATATACAAAAGGGAAACCCAGAAACAAGAACATTTAATTAAACTTGAAACTGATATTAAAAGAAAAGAACTAAAACTATTAGACTTAAAATTAAATGCAGCAAGTTAATTAGATATATTTTTGTTTTCAATTTTATTTATTTTACCTTTTATATTGCGTTCCTTAATATGAAATGTTCCTTTGATTTTTATTGTATACATTGAATTAAATAAAATAAGTATGTGATTTATAATGGAAGATTGTACATCTCTTAATCAGCAGCAGCTTCTGTGTAATTATTACTATTATGATTATCATCATTATAGTTTTCAGCTTCATCGGAAGGCATTTCAAAATTGTCATTAGAGAAATTAATATTATAGTGAATACAAATATTGTGAAGAGCAGCACAACAATTTGCGATTTTTGTACTTTTTTGGAGTTTATAGTGTATAATATAGCATTTCAATACTCTAATTACTCTATAATATATCTTTCGTGCTTTTGCTTGAATAGAATGATAATGGCTTTCTGCACTTTGTTCAGCCGCTGACCATATGGTGTCATTAAAAATGTTTATAATTGGTATCCACCGTCGCTTAAAAAGGAACATTTGAGATTTAACTAAAATTATGTGGAATTTCTTACCGAGAACCCAAAAACTATGTTTACCAGCATCTTGCAGAAATCTTCTAACTTGACTGGTATTCCAAATTAAGGAATCGTTTACAGAGCCAGGTTGTCTGGCATCTACATATCTAATTCTCATTTTATGGTAACAAACCTGTAAGGAAATTATAAATTAGCAAACACTTCGTTGAATGACATATTTGAAAGTATATTAGTATGTATGTAAATTATTTAATAATGCTCTGTACTTTTCATTCCAATACAATTTTACTAAAGTTTATTAAGAATGTACTGTACATTTTCTTTTAATACAATTTCACATTATTCTTTATTTACAGCGATGTGACTCGCTTGATTGCAATTCTCTTAATAAATATCATTCGATTTTTTTTTGAGTGGCCTGCTCCATAAGCTCATAGTTGAGTTAATGTTGTTGAGTTTATTTGTTGTTCTGCTATGCGGGTGTCGGTGTTGGTTGCAGTGCAGGCCAGACAGCAAACGCCACAAACACACCGCACATATTTGGCATTTTGGCAAAAGCTTGAGTGCAAGAATATGAGAAATTGTGTCGCACCTTTGGTACCTTAACTACTCCTCTTATTAAGCTCGAAACGTCCAGGTTTTAATAAAGTAATTTTGGATCTCGAAAATCGACGTGATAGTGGGAGCAGGTCAAATGTGGTTTTTTTTACAATTATAGTAGCTTAGAACTAGGTTAACAAGTGGTTTTAATGTAATAGTAATAATATTCGAAGTGATAGAAAAAAAAATTTACAATCGTAGTAGCTTAAAACTATGTTTAGAAAGTTGATTTAATGAAATGGTAAAAATTCAAGATCAAAAAGAATATTATATTTTAATTTTTCGTGACGCTTAAAGAAAATGTTATTCTACTTTAGTTTATTATTTAAATTTAATTTCTTAAGGAGACCCTTAAAAAGAACTATCGTAAAATGCAAATTTTTTATCAAATTCATTACCTGATTGTTTGTTTGGCTTCACCACGGCAAATTTAGAATACATGTCAAAAAATTTTAAAGTAATATTCTTAGGAAATTTGATGCAAGTTTTCAGATGAGCAACGATGTTGCCTTGTTTGTCAGATCAATAACGAGAAATTCGGTGTGAACAAATTTTACACCTGGAATTTTCGCTAACGTAGAAAAGTCACAATGAATCCCATTTGTTACGCTATAATTTAGTGAAGATTTTAAGCAGTGTATTAAATTTTCAACAGTGTCAAAGAGAATGGTGTATCGAATAAATTTCTGTACTTTTACTGAAAATATTCGATTTAGATAAAATGAGTTGGTTCTTGAATTGAATTTTCGATGTTTTTGCCTCTCTGCTCTCGCCACGAAAATATTTGACTTTGCCATATCAGCATAATTTTTTACAAAGCGACGATAGTAGTCTGAAAAACCAAGAAATAATCACAGCAGTGTTGTTGGAAGATTATAATTAAAAATTGCATGGACTTTATCTGGAATAGTTCTTATACTCTTTTCTGAAACCAAAAAACCCAGAAACTCAACTTCAGTTTTTAAAACTTCGACTTTTCTGTCGACACTCTCATTCCCGCTTGCACTTGCCTAAGATTTTATCGATACTAGCCAAATCGATCTCTGAAATATGCTTGGCTCATTTTCTAATCCCATTGTTAATGCTAAACACAGTTTATTTCCCATTTTCAAAATTAGCTGAAATTGTGGTAGTATCCGGTATTGGGTATCGATCAGGAATTGATTTTTTTTAATCTTCCTGTAATCGATTTTCAGTCGTAGCTTCGGATTGCCGCTTTCATCTAAACCCATTTTGAATACAACATAAGAACTATACGGAGAACAGGATTCTTTTATTATA